CCCCCCATCCCCGCCGCCCTGCGCCTGAGGGAAGGGCCCGAGGGGGGAAGCGAAGGGCCGGGCTGGCGAGGGGCTGCTCCGCTGTCAGGGAGGCTCCTTCATCGTGGCTGGGTTTAAAGAGCCTTGGAAAACGCCCCCCCCCAGTCCCCGCCCCTTAGCTTCATCCAGCGCAGGCCTGTGGTAAGATGTGGGGTTGCTAAACCCAGGGCTCTGCCTTCCTCCCGTGCTGTGCCAGCAGCTTCAGTGACATCCCTAAAGACTCAAGTATCCCCCGTTTAATTCTCCCCTGTTAATGCGCCCTCAGATGGAGTCTGTCCCAGTCTGGAGTTCGCGCTTCCCTCTAGTGCCTGCTACCTGCCGAGTCTCTGAGCAGGCAGGAGCTGAGGGTCCGGTTGTCTTTTATTCTCTCCTGAAGAGAGCTGAGGATTGATCCCAGTCAGTGGTAGAGGTCTCCAGGCCGCGTTGTGACACATTTGAGGCACGCTCCACTGTCTTGCTGTTTGAACTCGGCTGAGTCTGTTGCGATTACGTTCTGATTAGATCTCTCATGCGTCTCGTAGCAGAGCTTGTGGCGGTTAGTGAGGAGCGGGCCCTTCCCTGAGCTGGAGTATAGTCTCCTGTTCAACGCATGAGACATTCCCTATGTCGTGTTCCACAGACGTTCCGCTGGTAAATTAAGTTTCACCCACAATCAGCACAACTGTCTAGTGAGTCTAAAAAAAGTAGGTTTGAGGTAGAGACTGCTTTTAAAACGAACTAAAAGGCGTCCTGTAAAACCCTGACTTGCATTTAAAATGTAAGTGTTTTAAATTGCAATTTAGTGTAAATTATTTTCAACCTGTTCCTGCCACATTTTTTGTCCGGTAGGAATTGAAGTCTTGCGTTGTAGATCACCTTTATCACCATACTTTACTGCATAAGGGCATGATTCAACTCTCACGAAAGTCCATGAAAGTTTTGCTATTGTCTCTGATCAAAAGGGCATGATAGGTGACTAAAGATTGCAGCTAAAGGAAAAGACCGTGCCGGTACAGCAAATTTCTGAAGGCTGGGTTGTGGCACTGCATTGGGGGACAAGTCTACTCTTGCCACTTATGAGATCTTGAATGAAAAACTTGCTTTTGAATTGAGCAAATAATCTCTCCATGTCAATCATTATTCTGTATGAATCGGGCAGTTTTCAGTAAGACATGGAGCCTCTCTCTTCTTGCACCTATTTATGCTTTAGCTCCTAAAATTCATAACTAGACATAGTTAGATTCTAAACATGTTTTATATTCACCCTCACACTGGGTTGGAAGATTGCCTGTGGCTGATCCTAATATACATCTTTTAATCCTTAAAGGAAAAATTACATTTAAAAAATGGAGCTGAAAAGTCTATCTTTGATCACTTTCTTTGAAATAGCGAGGTGAATTATTTAAACTGTACTTTTATGCAGTAAGTTTTCTGTCTTCTAATTTGTGGAATCGCCTCTAATGGTTTTCATCTCTCAATAAAGGAAAGCTCCTGAACTTAAACCCTCCAAAAGTGGGAAATAACGTGTGCAGGTGAATAGAAGAAGGATGTTTGGGACAGAAGGACACTTTCTAATTTGTTGTTGTCATTGTTTGAGCACATTTAAAAACATATCTGTTGAATGAAAAGTATAGGTACTTACCTGCAGCAATATAGGATAAATCGATTATTCCTCCCAAATATGTTTAAATGTAATGTATAAAGAGGTTCCTCTGAGCTACTTTCTGCAATTGATCTTTTTATTAAATGAAGGTTACAATATACTATCCAGTATAATTAATAAAGTAGCTCCAATTTGACAAAAAGGAATATTACAGGGGGGCTTTCTGGGATGGGATTGGGGTTTTTTATTTAAATAATCATTACATGAATTCCGTTATTTCTTTTTGCAGGTTCATATTGAGATACACTGACTTGTGACTTGGTGTGCTGCTTATGCTTCAAGGATAGTTAATCAAATCTTGTATTCCTGTTTCATAAAATGCAACGTTTTTGAAGGACAGAGGAGCTGTGCATATCTCCTATATGAATATGGAGGAGGAAGAAGATTTAGACAACAGCCAGTTATGCGAAGCTGGTTCAAATCAGCAAAAGGAGTTTCTTCACTTTCCAGACATACACTCCTTGAATAACTCTCAAGCTGCTCCTTTTAAGATTAGGCATTGTTCTCTATTTATACCTTTGCTTCATATTGGCAAGAAAATGCCTCATTTGAGCAAATTGACTAGGATGAGTTCAAGTAAAGCTGCCTCTTCTGGTCTTTTTATTTCACCTCTAAGAGAGCAATTTGATAACTGTTTTAATAGTGCTTTGATATCAAACTGGCTGGAGAAAGCTCATAATTCCATTACTGACTTGGATGCTTTATGCTCCATTGGAGACAGCTGTGAATGTTTTGCACATTTCTGGTTTTCTGAACTACAATATAATTCAAAACTGCAGTTATTGGAATTAGAAATGAGCCTAACTGATGATGAATTGCAGCTTGCATTTCTTGAGAGGTTGGACTTTGAATTGCAGCCTCCTGATTTGCATTCCATCTTTGCTGCCACACTGAGTGAATATCCCGTGGAACTCCTGAACAAACAGAAACCATATGTTTTCCTTGACTATTTAAACCTCTTATCTTCAGAGCAAACAACTGGATATAAGAAATTTATGCTTTCAAGCATAAATTATACAACAGCTAATCCTCAGCTATCTCAGTGGTTATTAGCTGTACAAGCTTTTGCACTAACAAATCTGTGGCATGCAGTAGTACAGGTAAAAACAAAGCAGTGCTGAAATGTTATTACTAGCTGTTTTTAAGACTAATAGAAAAATATCTGACTAAATCAAAGATAGTGCTGAGACAAAGTTACCGTTCGTGTTCCAGCACGATACATGGACAACTAAAATTAAATCACACTTCTAAACTGCTAGTGAAATGGGCTGTCTAATAAAAGGGAATGCTTTTATACACGTGGAGCTGGATTTCAGGGTCAAGAGGATTTTAATTTTAGTTTGAATAGGGACTTGGCTTTCAAGATAAAACCAGGCTAGACTTTATTTTTACAAATGTTTTAGGGGTGTGTGTGGGTGCGTGTGTGTGGATGTGTGTGTAAAGGGTCTAAGCCAAAGGGGCACCCTGGCTGGTGTTAACTACTGTCCTGTTGCTAGTGGAAGTCTGTTATAGTGCCTTTTTTACTTTGAATCCAGAAGTTATCAGGATAAGTATCTTGCCATCAGTTTCTGATCCTTCTTGTAAGAACTTTGGTATTGACCAGTTCTCAAAATTAGCTCTTTTCAGGAATAACTAAAAGAGGTGGTATTGCTTCCATTCTGTAAAGTTTCTCCATTGACACTTTTATGGCTTTGCACACTTCTAGGTGTCTGAACTACAGTATAATTCAAAACTACAATTACTTGGAATTAGAAATGAACCTAACTGGAGGTCTGTTAGTGCCTCCATTATAAGCACTTATTTTCAGGGTTTATGTATTAAAGTTCCTTTAAAAACAAAACATCCCCCACCATCTCCTTTTTGTAACTGAAACAAGCTATAATTATAAAGCTAATTCTCTGGGTTTAGTTGATATGAGGAGAATATAAAGGCCTGGAAGTACATGCAAAAATAGTTCAAAATGCAATTCTTGTATTCCTCTAGTCCTGCAGCAGCTTCTGCTGATTTGATACCCCTATGTCTAAAGGCTATGCTTAAATTAGGCTGGCTGCAGACAAGTCTTCAGGGACCAAAATGGGGCTGGCAGTGGGTAAAGCAAAGTGAATTATGTCCATGTTCCCTTTTTCCTGCCACTTGTACATGGTGGTATATAAAGCCTTACAGTAACTCTACACTATTGGAAGTACCATCCTGTTTCAGAAGGGTAGTCCTTTCTCAGGTGCTGAATTTGGCTTTTGGACAAAACGCCAACAAATGAAGCTGCCTATCTCTATTCATGAGTAGTTCTATTGATTCCTCCTTCATGTGGAGAAGAGTTTTTTTTGTAGACATACCTAAAGATTTGTCTATATTGGGAAGGCAGGGTGTGAATTTACAGCAGGCCAGTTACTTTGTTCTAACTCTCCATGTGGATGCTTAAGATGCAGTAAGTATACAAGAGCTTATTCTGCCACTTGGTTGCTTGCAGATGTTAAAAAAAACCAAACAAACCCCAACCAAACCAACCTAAAAATGGTAGTCTAACTTTAAACTTGGCACGCTTCCACGTTTAGCCCAGCACATGCCCAGAAGAGGCAGCGTGTTAATTGGACCTGGCTTGCTCGATGCCTGTATGGATTGGGTGCTTTAGTGGAGCTTTTTTGGCACTTTTTATCTAATAGCTGACTGACTCAGCTTTAGATAAAGTGCCAAAAAGCCCTTTTGAAGCACCTGATCTATACAGACACTTTGGGGCCAAGTCCAAGTAACACACTGCTCCTTCCAGTAAAACACAGCTTTGTTTTGTTTTATTTTTAATGTCTACAAGCAGCCCTTGTGCTTGTTTCGTGCAAAGGCGTTCATTCGGGAAATTAGTGCAAAATAGCTAGCATGTTGTAAATTTATATCCTGGTTTACTGCATAGAGATTTCCTTGTTTAGACAAATTCTACCAGTGCCTTTGTGTGAGGTAGCTTACCCCACATTCCTACTTACTACATGCTAAGTGTCCACATTGGGGGTTAGGACCCCCCCACACACACACACACCATGTAGTAGTCATGGATGATGGGTTGTAAACAGCTGCGAGGAAGCTGTTGCTACGTCATAAATTGGATTTTGTTTAACAGACCAGTGAAACCATTATGATGTGTCACATAGCATATCTTACAGTTTTAGTAGAAGGGTTTGAGAATTAAACCCAAGAGGTAAAAAAACAAACCATTATCTTGATAATGAAAATGTTAGAAATGCAAGAGTATTGTTTACCTTTAAAAATCAGTCAACAAGTCCCAAGTTGCGAGTGAGAATTGTTAATTATTCTATGTATATCTTATTTTAGATGGTGCTGACTTTTAGGGTTTCTCTTGTTCTGCTATATAATGTAGGCAGAGAGGAAAAAAAAAGAAGACTTAAATGCAATTGTCTTTAAAGATGTCTGTGGGAAGGTGCTTGTAGCTGTCTTGAATTTTTGCTGAAATAATGCTAACAAGTTCTTCTATGAGTAGACTTTGCAACATTGGATAATAATAAGCTACAGGTCTGAGAATCTAGTGTTTTCTTAGACAAAACTTGTGGGTTTTTTTGTTGTTGTTTTTTTTAATTGTGGGAGTGGCCTTTAGCCTTCATTTCAGGATCAATTTAAATGAGTTACAATACGTGTAAGTGAGGTGAGCTGATGAGAGATATCTGTAACATGCATAATTTTAACGTATGATTTTTTTAAAAGTTTGTCTTGATGCACAGTGGATTAAATCCACTCCAGTAGCATTTTAAGTTTGCTTTGAATTTTGACCGCTAGAAACCTAAACAGTAGCTTTGTAACTTGAACATTCCTTCTGAGATTAAACCATTTTTTCTTTTGATGTGGTAACATCTCACATAATGCTGTATGCTGCGCTGTAAGTTTGGCAAAGCATTAATTGAAAGCAGTATTCTTGCACTAGTTGAACCGTGTGACTGGCAGAGACAGCTCTTGGGATTGTCCACTCCCCCTTGGAAGGGAGAATAGTTTACCAAAGGAAAGACCTGCATGGCATATGAAAAAACAAAACAAAACAAAATGTGGCTATTGCATGCACCACACTTCTTATTTATTATTATTATAACTGACTTCATGTTGGGTCCTCTCAAGAAGCAACATTTCTGGACTAAGAATCTGCTGAA